GCATGAATACGAAATACAAGTTAAATATTTGAGCTGCCTCCGGCTGGGAGCCAGAGACGGAGACGGAGACGGAGACGACAACGGAACTCTGGTAGCCAAGCTAAGGGAAGAGAAAGAATGAAAGAAAGGGCAACTCCAGCACAATCATAGAAATTGCACATACCATTAAAGCAAATCGGAAAAGGTGTGTGTGTGTGTGTGTGTGTGTGTGTGTGTGTGTATCTGCTGCAGCTGCATTTACAGGGATATGCTAAAGGATATTCATTGGATGCTGTTCTAATCGCAGCTCCTGCTCTAAGTGCTGACTCACTTTAACCAATATTATATTGGATGGATAATAGAAGAGAAGGAATAAACACCACTAATGAAGCAACAAGAAACATTTTACTATTTCATTCACATATAGAGAATAGACATCAGATCGATTAAAGAAGTTAGATATATGTAAACATACCTATTTACATAGAGCCACTTTGATATATTCGATTTGTCGAGCACTATCGCGCTCAATTTCTTGGTTCATGATGTTCACTGTACTGACAGACCTAGATAAAGAGGAATATAAATATCGCAGCAGAGAAGAAAACATGATAGCTAATATTTGATTTATTTATATTTTATTTACATTTCGCTGCATATATATATATATATATATATATATATATATATATATATGGGTGTGTGTGTGTGTGTGTGTGTATGTGTGCTTATTTTTACCTTGTTTTCTTTATTTTATATTCATTTATTGTTGTTGCTCTTCTCCCGGCAAACTTATCAGCAGACTTTGACATCGGGGACATGTAAATAATTTATATGGCATACCCGGTTATATATGTAATTTATGACAGGGTACACACACACAGATATACTTATGAGCTCGAGGTGTTAGTTATAATTGTGCTCCGTCCTCGCTCTTATCAATATCAGAGAAAGACAACAGAAAGTGTGTGTGAGAGAGAGAAAGCGTTGGAAACGATCGATCTATCTCTTGATGTTGTTGCTGTCATGCGAATGCTCAAGATTTTTCTAGTTAAGTTATTGAAAATAAATGGAATCATTATAGTATGTTAATTGTATGACGTAACATATTACATTATAATATTATATTCTGGCATAAATTCAAAATCTCCCCTTTACAGTTCTGTTGAGGCTTATATCTTGAGCTGTATTTTGATGTCGTCTTTAAATCATTGGCAGTAAACCAATAAGCCGTTTGGTATACTGAAAGCTGAATCTCTAAAATCCTTATGAAGCACAAACCGTATCTCACTTAAAAAGCTGCTTCAATTTAATTATATAATTGTTATATTATGCATAATAATATGTGTGTATATATGTATGCTTAAATATACTCATCTATGTAAACCGTTAGCTTGCTCTTTCTTATGTCGAGTCGAAGTTAAAATACTTTTCCTTACGTTTTATTTATCTTGTTGTTTTTTTTTTTTATTATTATTAATATTTGATGTTATTTCGTGGCTTGTTGCTTGTTATCAGCACCGCGGGCAGTTCAATGTAAATAGTAATAAACTTATTTACACCCACACGCACACACACTCACAGGCACAACTAATTGCTGTTTGCTCTGCGCGCAATTTTATTTTCTGTAACACGCATCCAGAAGTAGAATCTCTCTCTCTCTCTTCCCTTTTATCCATATCATGCTTCCTCTCTTTCTTGAAGGCCGCCACGTTTAGTTCGTTGCATGTTGCAGTTTATGCTGCGCCCAAAGATAAGAGGCCACTAATCTCTATCTGCGTCTATCTATTTGGCTCTTTGCCTTATATATGTTTACTCTACCCACAAATAAATAAAACTGCATTGACATAGTAAACAAAAACAAAAAAAAAAACAGAAGACAAGAACAAGCAGAAAAATGATAAATAGTTTAGAGAAAAAGCACGATATTGAAATAAAACCCTGCAAGCAAAGAATCGAGGCTCGTAAACATTTAATTAACTTTTTTGAACTGCGTAAAAAGTGGGGTGAATGCAGTTCTGAATACCCTAGCTGATTTTGAATTGTATAAAGAACTGTAAGTAGTAAAGGCCTAGACTAAGCTTGAGAGATGAAGAGATCTTAAATGAATCTATATACAAATTTGATAAACAAATTAATTAAATTATTTATTTATATTTCTTTAACCATTTGCAAAGTCTGCAAAATGAGTTCGGGTTCATAAATCATTCAACGCTAACAACCTTATGCGACTCAATATGTGGAAATGTGCGAACTGAATATAAGCCTTAATTGAATAGAAATCTCGACCGAATTCATACTCAAAAGCAAACTCACTTTGCTGACTGGGTTTGCTGCCCTTATCGGATCTGAATTCCCATTCTTCATATTTTCTCTTCCCTTTTGGAATATATAATATTATGAGCTCAATTATGTATTGTATTTAATAGTATTTCCGCAACTATGCTTTCGAGATTTTTCGCTTCCTACTGAAAAGATACCCTCCTCCTCCATCTTATCCTGCTTAAGCTATTCATGATTATCGATTATTCGATATGGTCAGGTATCGATAGATGTATCTCTTATTGACCTAGTACAATATTTTATATTGAAATTTTAATTGGGCAACATTTCTATCAATTAGGGTATCTTCCATTCGATGTTGCCCATATGGGGATCTCCATTTTGTATGTTTTATACACGTATGCATAAATAACTAAAGCCCGTTTGTCATTGCAGCTGTAGTTCGTGTTGTTGTTGTTGTTGTTAGCCATGGCCTATGCAAACAGTGTGCAACGAGACGAAAAATACCTTGATTATTGCCGTAAAAATAGATGTATGCATAGATAGACGTACATGTCTGTCTGTGTGTGGCTATTTTTTTGTTTTGTTTTGGGAATATTATCATAAGAAAATCTTTGCACAAATAATTGCCAATTTTTCCGATTTTCAATTGCGTGCAAATTTATTTAAATGTAATTTATTTATGCCTTTTTTCTGGCACCTGCGACATGCAAATATTTTTAGAAAGCATTCGCAGAGAGTGCCCCCCAGCTGAGCTCCTCTCCGTTTGGGTAAATATATATGCATACATACATACATAAATGGCTCCAAACTCTGTTTGCACAAATTATTTTGTTGCTTTGTCACCAGCTGAGGCCGAGAGGCATTTGAATGCCAATTGGACGGCTCCTTGTTGTAGTTGTGTTTGCATTGCATTATGCTGGCCAAGACACAGACTCACACACACAGAGAGACACGCTGGTGAAATATTTTACACATGTGGAAAATATAAATCATATTTTTGCTGGCAATTTGCACAAACGATTTGGTTTGTTGTTCTATGCAGACTTTCTGTTTGTCTGTCTGTCTGTTTGTCTGTTTGTGCAACATTTATTTATTGTTGTCTGCCCAAATTCGAGAAATAAGCCTCTTTGATTGGCCAATCCGTATCACTAGGCAATCTGTGCACACATAACTATGCAGTTAAAAAGCCAAAAGCATTTCGACTCCAATTCAAGAATTAAATTCTTCTTACTCCAATTAGACCAATTACGATTCGATAACGACGTCCACTTGGACTGAATCATTATCAGTCTCAGCCAAGTATAAGAAATGAAATTGATATTGGAACGAAATTGATTAATCGATTGAATGAGTCTAATTTAGAAACTGAAGTGGTTCTTGATGACAGTTAGTAACGCTTTTTATATTAAAATATATGTTAGTAGGTTATAACGAAATGAGATACTATAATGCCTATGTATTTATGATATATTATGATAGTAATAAAAAAGGAGAGAATTATAATAATTATGTGTTTATATATGAAAATTATTAATTTAGAAAAAAAAAATGCAAACTATATTGAATAGTGATTATGTCAAATAATTATTGGAAAAGCTCAACGTTGCTCTTCTTTATATCAACTCACTTAGCAGACTTTGATTTGTCCAAAAGAGAAGTGAAATAGTTAAGGGTAGGATAGGATAAGATAGGATAGCCAAACAGCATTATATTCATATATTAACCATCATGAGCTTAGGATAGGAGGGGATAGTTAGTATATGGATAAGCAATAACTTATATATAAGCTATCCTAACCTATCCTATCCTATTCTAATTAAGTATCCTATCCTATCGTGCTCTATTCTCTCCTATTCTATTCTTAACTAAGTGAGTTGATATATACATAGAATGAATTCTATTCGAATTAATGTTCCAGAAGTTTCTTAGCTTAAATTCTCGTGGAGAATATCTCAAATATTTGATATTCGATTAAAGAAGAAGTTTGTGTCGCTGAGTAACAATAGCAACTTCAACTATCAAATACAAATAGCTGCGGAGCAGCGACAAAAGTCTTCTATAAACATAAATTGTCAGAGCCTTTAATGGTGCGCGCAACATATTTTAGACCAAGTAGCAACTGCAGCAGCAGCAGCAGCAGCTACAACAGCAACAATAAATAGCAACCGCAGCTGTTATTGTTGTTGTTGCTGCTGCATTTTTGCCGTGCTCGATTTTTTATGTATTTGGCTGCACAAATAAATTGCACATAAATCGCTGGCCACATAAATTTTACATGTTGCCGGCGTGCAGACTCGAAAAAAAGAAACGAGTCGAAATTATGTGCCCGCTGCAAGCATAAATTATACAAAGAGCGGAACCGAGTGTGAGAGCGAGAGAGAGAGAGAGAGGGTAGACTGCAGCTGAATGTGCGGCAATTAAAATATTTGCGCGTCTAACAGCAAATTTCCTTAATTATAGAAATGAAATAAAATTATTCAACTAATTGCGGCAATAAGTAGAACAGCTCGGAGCAATACAGACTGCGTTTGCAATTGCATAATTAGGGTTTCGAGCAAAGCGCATTGCCGCTGGGCAAACAGTGATAAAACTCGAGGCAGAAACTCTGCCGCTGCGAAGGTCAGCTGCCCATAAAGCTGCGCCAAGAGCAACAACTGCTACAGATGTTTATTGCTGCCTCTGCTCAGATATCTGAATGTGTTTTAACAATTTGTCAACTTGTATTTTATTTGCAGTCACGCGCCCGCAAAACCTCTACCAAAGCAAATAAACTGAATGCATCCGCCGTTGGCATTGCAGCCGCTTCAGCAACATCGCCGCGTCTAAGTCCAGCGCCAGCAACAGCAACATTGTTGCCGCAGCAATCGCCAAACACGACAACAGCAACAGTTGCAGCCGCCGGCAGCTTGCAGCAGCAGCAACAGTATCAGCAACAGCAACAGCAACTGCAGCAGCAATTGTTGTCGCATCAGCAACAGCCGCAGCCGCAGCCGCAGCCACTGCAACAGCAACATCAGCAGCAGTCGCAGCACTATCAGCAGCAGCCGGAGCCGCAACAGCATTTCCACCAGCAGCAACATTTGCAGCAGCAGCATCAGTCGCAGCATCACCAGCAGCAGCACGCACAGCAGCAGCAGCAGCAACATTTGCACCAGCAGCAACATCAAATAACCGCACAAATACAAACCATGAAGGATCAACCGCAACAACCCATGGTGAGTGCACCAAAACATCGAACAGCTTAAAACTATATTTTCTTGTTGCTATCGGGATTTCCAATTAAAACAACAGCACCAACAACAACAGCAACGAGCATTGACCTTCAATCAGTTCATCTGCTGCTGTAAAATGAAATGAAATGAATTAAAAAAAACAACAATGGCAAATAACATAAATTAAAACTCAATAGCGCCGCTGGCCAACATTGCGTATACGTCACACACGTCCAATCAGCTGCAGCTGTGCACACGAAACGAAAGCAAATGCTGTGCAGAGGGGCGGATGGACGGACGCAAAAGCAAACTACGCAAACACACACACACACACACACACACACAGACAGGCACAAATACACACATATCTTCATTCATAAACAATTTTTCGATTTTTATCAATGATTGCTAAATGCTTTCAAAAAATAAAACGCAAACCACACAACAACAACAGCAGCAGCAGCAGCAGCAGCAGCAGCAGCAGCTGTCATCACCAGGTGCACATTTCCACACACACACACAGACAGACACAGTCTATTTTTACAACATAAATAACAAGCACAACCCCAAAGTAAAATGGGATATAAAACTTTGCCCAGCACAAAAAAAAAGTAAAATAATAAATAAAATAAAATAAAAATTGGAATATTTCATATTTTAATATATATACATGTACATTTATATATATTTATGTGATTTTATTGTGTATCTGACAGTGGCTGCTGTCAGTTTGTATTCCTCTGTCTGTTCACGACTTTCACTTTCATAATTCCGACACCCGAATGCTGTAGTCTAATTCCAAGCGCAGGCCGGAGTTGAATGCTATAAATATTTGGCATGTTGTAGTTGCTATTGCTGTTGTTGTTGTTTTATTTAGATATTATTTCTGTGCGTTTATTTGTTTTTGAAGCCCGAGCCAATTAATATGCCGCCTAATTGGGGTGCGGCTTATTTGATTTACGCCCCGCAGCAACAGGAACAAATAAAACAACGGAAACAGAAAAGCAATTTTTAACAGCCAACTCCTGATGATGGCCTATGTGAGGGGTTGGTAAGAGAGGGTGAGAGCGAGACAGAGGTAGAGCCGAAAATGGGTTAGTCGTTTGCTAACTACATATTTCGAGCTATATCATAATCAGGTTTGGCTCTAATAGTTTGTAACTAAATATGTAACTAGGCAGGGTTACATTTCTCTTGTTGATTGTGTCGTGCAAAAATATGAGGGGTTTGACATATCAAGTAGAGCATGGATATGTTCTATATTAATAGGAGAATCAATAGCAATGAATCACTAACTAAATAAAAAATCGTTAATCGGAATAGCCAATCGAAAAATATTTTACTGTGCTCAAGATATTTTTATTCGCTTTGTATTTCTCACTGAACGAATAATGCTGCATTATCATACAATACTGTCAATCACTCACTTATAATCTATATAACCAATATAATCTATTTACAAATCGTTCATCCCGCAGGCACCCATGGCCTTCTATCCCACATGGCAGGCGGATCCGTCGCAGGGGTGGCAGAACCAGTTCATACAGCAAATACCACAGAATACTCCAGCCATCACATCACTCAACTCCTTGGATTTCCAGACACAGTCCTACGCCTATCCATCAAATGGCTACGTGCAGACGGGTCTCGGCTTCGATCCCAACTACGGCCGCTCCCCGTACGGTGCGCCCGTGCAGCGCTACGATTTCCAAAGCCAGCAGCTCTCGAGTGCGCCCATCAACCAGGTGGGTCTGCAGAGCGTCGCGGCGGGCTTTCCGCCGGGCGGTGTTAGCTATGCCGGGCAGGTGTCTACGGCACCGGCGCCACCAGCAGTTGGCCTGCAGCAGCAACAACAGCAGCAGCAGCAGCATCTGGGCGGCGATCTGAGCAAGAGCATGTCGGGAAACGACACGCCTGGATATCCGCGGGTGAGCAGCGTGCCGCCGCGCTCACTCAACTGTAACGGGTATCCAGGCGATTTCAGCGGTTCACAGCAACAACAACAGCCACAACAGCCACAACAGCAACAACAGCAGCAACAACAACAGACGACAACAGCAACGCCCAGTGGTGCAGCCACGCCCACAGCCACTGGGCCTGGTAATGCGGTGGTTTCCCAGCCGGCTAGCTCTCCCATGCAGCAGCAGCCCCAACCGGTGCCCCCATCGCCCACACGCAGCCTCATACAGCAGCAGCAGCATCAGCAACAGCAGCAGCAACAACAGCAGCAGCAGCAGCCACGCCTCGTCTCCCAGTCGCCCAGTCAGGTGCCGCAATCGCCGAACGGCAACGGACTTCAGCCGTACGGCAGCAGCGTGCAGGCCCAGCAGCAGCAGCAGCAGCAGTCACATCCACATCTTGCCTCGCCGCCCATGCAGGACTGGAACTGGAGCAATCAGCAACAGCAACAACAGCAGCAACAGCCGCCCTCTGCACAGCAGCAGCAGCTGGCAAACGATGGCTATTCGGCGCAGGGTCAGGGGGAACGCTTGCATCTGAATACGCGTATCAAGTCGATGATCATGCGCAAGAGCGATTCCAAGGATGCCCCGCCCGACATTCAGCTGCAGGGCCAGACTGCTGGCGCAACTGCCGCGCAGCAGCAACAGCAGCAACAACAACAAACCGGTCATTTTTTATCGTATAGCCACCATCTCCGGCCCGACACGGCGCTGAGCGCCAACGGCTCGAGCAGCATCGCACCCCCGCTGGGCGGCGCCGAGCCCATCGGAGGTGGTGGCGATCAGATCTGGAAGCCGCACCACGCCAACTCGTTTAAGAAGCCCAGCGTGAGCAGCGGCTACGCCGGCACAGACCATCAGCTGCAGCTGCAGCTGCAGCAACACCAGCCAGGACAGCACATGACCATCAGCCATGCGGAGCAACCGCCCCAGCCACCTTCCATGCCCATACAGCCGCCGGTGCAGCCTCAACCGAAGAAGTCGCGGAATCGCAGCAAGGCGAGCCGCGCCGCTGCCGCTGCCGCAGAGGCGGCGGCCGCCGAAATTGAAAGGGATCGCAATGCGAACGATCCTGGTGGCGGGGGCCTCAAGGCTCTGGGCGCACACTATCCGCCACCGCCGGGCAGCGGGCAGGAGTACCACGGCCAGTATATCAAGACGGAGCCAGGCCTGTTACCCCCTCCGCCGCCAGGCGGGCAGCCCAACAAGATGGAGGGCTACGAGCGCAACTACCAGAACTTCATTCAGTACGCCGACTTCTGCCAGAACGACGGACAGGGCCAGCCGGTGCAGCAGCACCAGCAGGAGTATGCTGGCTACCACCACAACTCGCCGTACTACGGCGCAGGAGCCGGAAGCTTCCAGCAGAACTTTCAGCAGAGCTTTGTGCCCGGCTATCAAGCAGCAGCGGCGTACGGCAGCCGTGGTAAGCTGCCATCGAATTCTGTGCACCACGCGCCGCACGGGCACGGACACGGGCACGGCAACAGCATGCTGGAGCTGGACCGGAAGCCAGACACGAACAGCATTATACCACTGCCCACCAACTACGAGCAGGACATACCAGCGCACGCGTACCCCATTCCCGCTCATCGCTATGCGCTGGGACATGGAGCACCACCGCCACCGCCCCACCTCAGCCACCATGGCATGCTGGACTCCAAGCTGGACGACATGGGCATGCTGGGCCATGGTCACGGCCACGCCCACGGCCATGGCTATCCGTATCTGGGTGAAGGTAAGCCGCTGAACAATGGCTTCTCCTGCTGTCGTCAAGGCGGCACCCGGCCACCCACAGAGGAGCACCTGAAGGGCGGCACGTGCCTGGGACTGGGCGTTCAGCCCAAGGAGGAGCTCCTGGATGAAGATGAGCTGGCCGAGGCGCACAATGGCGTCAAGGCCAAGTCAAAGAAGCAAAAGCAGGAGGAGATACCTGAAATAATTGTGAAGCACGAGAAGATCAATCCCATGTTTGATACGACGGATCGCCTCGAGAAGGGCAACAAAACAGAAATACCCGAGTGCGAGTGCTTCCAGTCCGACAAGAATCCACCCGAGCCGGGCACTTACTATACGCATTTGGGTAAGTAAAGGGATCTAATGGAACTGGGGAATAACTGGGTCTGGGGCTAATTGAACTGGAGCAGGTAGCTCCTTGAAGTATATTTTGTGGGGAGCCTTTTGTATTTGACCTAATTAGTGTTTCGTTCACCATAGGAACTGCATCTACGCTGATGGAGCTGCGTCGGGAGTTCGAGGAGCGGTGCCATCTGACGGGTCGTCAGCTGCGCATCGAGAAGATCGTCTACACGGGCAAGGAGGGCAAGACCACGCAGGGCTGCCCGGTGGCCAAGTGGGTGATCAGGCGCGCCGATCCCGAAGAGAAGATACTTGTGGTTGTCAAGAAGCGTCCCGGTCACAGGTAAGCCAGGCACGTCCATAGCCATGAAAGCAGTGTGAGTGTAACTTGACTCCCGTTTCAGGTGCATTGCCGCCTATATTGTCGTATGCATGGTGGCCTGGGACGGGATGCCGCGTAAGGAGGCGGACGATGCCTATGTGAACCTCATACCCAAGCTCAACAAGTTCGGTCTACCCACGACGCGCCGTTGCGCGACTAATGAGAATCGCACCTGTGCCTGCCAAGGTAAGCGCACCTGCCGCCAGCCCACTGTTATGCGTTACTTATTGACCTATTGCAGGGCTGGATCCGGAGTCATCAGGCGCCTCGTACAGCTTTGGCTGCAGCTGGTCTATGTACTACAATGGCTGCAAGTACGCCCGCTCGAAGACCGTGCGCAAGTTCAGGCTGTCGGTGAAGAGCGAGGAAGCGGCCATCGAGGACCACATGAATCTGATTGCCACACTGCTGGCGCCGGTGTTCAAGCAGGTGTGCCCGCGCTCCTACGACAATCAGACCAAGTACGAGCATGAGGCCTCCGACTGTCGGCTCGGCCTCGAGCCGGGCAAGCCCTTCTCGGGGGTAACCGCCTGCCTGGACTTCTGCGCCCACTCTCACCGCGACCTGCACAACATGCAGGACGGCTGCACCGTTCACGTGGCCCTGCTGAAGCCCAGCAACCGCGATACCCACCTGCCCGACGACGAGCAGTTCCACGTCCTGCCGCTCTACACGATGGACGGCACCGACGAGTTCGAGAGCGTCGAAGGGCAGCGTGATAAGCATCGCACCGGTGCTGTGCAAATGCTGGACAAGTGAGTGTAGTGTTGAGTTTTGAGCTACCAACTGCAGCTCGGACTGTTGGTGACTAGCATTAATCCGTGTCCTTCTCCCACTCGTAGATTTCCCTGCGAAGTACGCGTGCGCTCCACCCCGCTAATACCCTGTCGCCGGCACGGAAAAAAACGCAAGGAGGACGAAGCCTCCACCCCGGATGGCGACCACGACGCCGCCGCCGACGGAAGCAGTCAGTGCTCAAGCAACGGCGCCCAATCGCAGGCCCAGCAAGCGTCCTCCCAGCAGAGCAGTCCGCCCGCCCTTGCCTCTGCTCACATCAAGAAAGAGAACTGCGCCAGCAATGGCAGCGCCCCCGGCAACAATGCCAGCAACAGCAACAACAAATCAAAGTCAAAGCCCAAGTCGAGCTCCAGTGTGTCCACGCCGGGCTCGGCGCCTCCAACGACGCCATCGCCGCGCTGCCAAACGCCCGTCACAAACAACCCTAGTCCGGCGGGCAGCGCATTCAGCACGCCGCCCGTCAATCAGCACGCCGGCAATCCGAACACCAGCAACAACAGCTCGGCAGCAGCAGTCGGGGCTGGTCCGCCGGGCGGCCAGCCCAACCAGCTGATGAGCTCGAACTCGAGCCTCATGAACATGGCCACGATGATAGACACGTTCACGGACGCCCAGCTACAGTCCAACCAGATCTCGAGCACCGTGCTGGACTCGCCCTACTCCTACGACTACCAGACGGGCTCCTACATCGATTCGCGCAACTACTACGGCAACTGGCCGGCCCATGCCATGGGCATGGCCGCTGGTAGTGCGGCTCTCACGCCGACCACGCCTACGGCGCCGATGGCGCAGCATGCGCACACAGTGACGCCACCGACAGCAGCAGCAGGAGGTGCTGCAGCTGCAGCGGCCTCGGCAACAACTGTTTCTCCAGCAGCAACAGGCACAGCGATGCCGCCCGTCACGCCCGCTACAGTGACGCCCACGCCCCCTCAGCACGAGGCCAGCAATGGCTACACGTCCAGCTACAACAATCTGGCAGCGCCAGCGCTGGGCGCACAGCAACACCAGCAGCAGCAGCTGCAACAGCAGCAACATCAGCAGCAGCAACTTCAGCAGCAACAGCATCAACAAAAACAACAGCAACAACAACAACAACAACAACAACAACAGCAGCAGCAACAACAACAACAACAACAACAGCAGCAGAGCGGTGTCGATGTGGCCGGCGCTGTTGCTGGTGGTGAGCTTAAGGGCCGCGTCAGCGAGGAAAACCCAGACTCGACGACGCTGGTCAACCACTCACTGGTCGAGAGTAAGTTAACTGCTTTGACAGCCATGCAACCCATGACTAATCTAGCACCACCACTCCACCACCACCACCATCCGCATACGCCAGAAGGCTTCGTCAAGCCAAAGCCGCCGCCCAGCGACTACCAGTACTCGCAGTACCCGAACAACTATCAGATGTACCCGCCTCCGCCACCGCCGCCGCACTCCGCCTACTCCGCGTACGACGCCTACCAGAACATGAACTACAACTACGGCTACCACCACCAGGCGTACTCGCCGTACGGCATGTATCCGCAGCAGACGCCACCTCCCACGCCGCCGCCACCCTCGCCCAACTGGAATGTCTACGGCCATCACCAGAGCTCTGGAGGCTACGGCCCGGGGGCCGGAGGGGCTGGTGGTACACTGCTGGCTACGCACGGCCCGGTGCCATCCGGGGCCACGCTGGTGAAGCCAACGGTGCCAACTGCTGTGCCTCAGCAGCAGCAGCAACAACAACAGCAACAGCAACAGCAACTGCAGCAGCCACAGCAACAGCAGCTGCAACAGCAACAGCAGCAGCAACAGTTGCCAGCAACACCCCCTCAAACCATTTTGCCCGACTTGAGCAATGGCCAGCTGCCCGTGGAGCCCACTGCAGCAAGTGCTGTTGAGGTGCCACCGCTTGTCAACAACAATAACAGTAGCAACAGCAACAGCAACAGCAGTAACAGCAACAGCAACGATGCCAACGGCAACGCGGCTGGCGCTGGCGGCAACTCGACGGCAACTACTGTGGCGCCAGCCAGCACCAACTCGACCAAGATCGAGCCGATCGGCGAGGTGGCCGAGATCAATGAGAACATTGAGGCGTTCCAGGATCCGCAGATGGGCGGCGTGGCCATTGCGCTGAATCATGGCAGCGTGCTGATCGAGTGCGCCAAGCACGAGATGCATGCGACGACAGCCGTGCGGCGACCGGATCGCCACCACCCGACGCGCATGACCCTGATCTTCTACCAGCATCGCAACTTGAATCGTGCCAGGCACGGCATCGACGAGTGGGAGGAGAAGATGCGCGTGAAGAAGATTAACACGGACCTCGACAACAAAGCCAAAGAGGAGCGCGAGCGTCTGCTGAAGAAGGCAGCCGGCGAGGACGACGAGGACGAGGATATGCCCGACGAGCAACTGGCGGTGACTGCAACCCCGACCCTGCCCACCATCAAGAAGGAGAACAGTGGGAGTGGCGGCGCCATTAAGAATGGGGCCAGTGGCAGCAAAAAGAAAAAGAGCGAGGCCAGCAAGAAGACACAGTCGAACAACAACAACACCAACAATAACAACAACAACAACAACAATAGCGAGCAGTCAAAAAACGAGAAAGTTGCCCTCCACGCACCAACACTAACAACAACGTCGTGGACGACCCTGTTCCCTATGCACCCATGCGTAGTTACGGGGCCCTACCAGGAGGGCAATAGCAGTCCAACATCGTCCACGAATGGCAGCGCCGCCAATGGCACCAGCAGCAGCAACAATGGCAACAATGCCAATGGCCCAACAGCGCAGCAGGCAACGACTCCAGGAGCCGTGCCGCCTCCTCCGGCGGCGCAACCGTTGCAGCAAACTTGAGCGCCTACCACCGCCAGATGGGGATAGGCGCCTACTACTACTGGTAGCCGTTTGACAAACGACTGAAAGATATTCTCATAATAATTATTTTTGTAAACGCGTCCTGATACCGTGTGCCATACGAGGGGGTTGGGGTTGGAGCTGAGACTGGAATTGAGATTGGGATTGGGGAGCAGGCAACGCAGTTGCAGTTGGATATACCCGGCCAGCATGCAGTAATACACTACCAAAGCTCCACAGCACTCACAGCAACAATAACAACAACAACAAAAACAACAGCAGCAGCACACTCACATATACATACATACACTCAAACACTCACACAAGCCTAGTTCACGAACTGGATGAAAATGCAGTTAGATTCATATTCATATACATATACATACATACATATAGGAAACGACGAAGTAGACGAAGAATGAAGAAAATCTATGTTTTTAGCGCAGCTATATTGTTGGCAATTTCTGTTAAATGATTTATTTTTTACATTTTGTTCTCTCCTTCTGTTAAGAATCAAACAAAGCAAACTACAGAACAAACACTAGAAAACGGAAACCGAAGAACTAAAAGAAACAACAAAAAAACCTAATAAACTAATTTTCTAAAGTAATGTTTGCTTGAAAAAAAAAATAAAAAAACTAAAAAACAAACATTAGTGGAGGGATAATCGTAAAAGATCATTGCCAAAAGTACAAATAAACCAATTTTTAAAGCAAACTAGAAACAACGTAAACAATTTCGCAAACAACTAAACAAAATACAAAACAAAACAAAAACAATTATATATAGTTGCTAACTTTTTTCTACTACAGTGAAATGAAATATATTTTCCAATTAGCTTTTAGCATCGTTCCAATTTGACTCTCTTTTGGCGCTGTTGCATACTTTGCAGCGCCAAGTGAATTCGAATTGGCAGACAGTAAATGCGGCTCTCTTGATGCGCGACTCTCTTTCGATCGTCCGCACTCTCTGCATTCAGCACGCAAGAGAGCTGCATTTGCGACATTTAATGTACTGTTAACTGCAAGCACTACATTCACAAGCAAACACAAACACATACACGCGCAGGCACACAGAACGAGCGTTTAAAGCCGAAAAGAGAAGTGAAGCAGGGGCAACAACTAATTCTATTTACATACGCAAACATATTTGTATGTATGTAGTAAGTGTGCGTCAGGCGGAGAAGTGAGCACAGTGAGAAGAGCGTAGAAGAGAAATAGAGACGGGTCTGGGGTGGGAAGCATTTAAGTTAAGCATACGTAAAAACCACATAAATAAGAATACCGCGAAGAATGAACGGAAGAAAGGGGGAAGAAAGATAATGAAGCAAAGACGGGAGTAGCGCGTAAAGAATGAAGACATTTTTTAAACATTAATCATAAATTAAGTTTAAGCCACAACAAAATAAAACAAAAAACAAAAATAATAAAAAAAGAAACAAGTATCCCAGACAAACACGTATGAAATAAAGAAAAAGAAATTATGTTTTATTATTTACATATGCGCGCCCAAAAGGCATTACTGTTTTTTTATTAATATGCGCTGTAAATGTTAATGCAAATTCGAAAAGAAAATTAAAAATCCAAAAAAAAAAAGACTCGAAACCAAGCAAGTATTAAGTACACAACAACAACTATAATTAACTAAAGGACAAAATATATTTGCTTATTCATTTCACGCATGAATTATTGTAAAAAGCTAACTCAATTAATTAATTTACATCCATCCAAAACAAAAACAAAAACAAAAGCAAAAGAAGGAAAGCAAAATGGCAGCGCAACTGAATTTCAAATCAAATTAGTCTAAACAAAAATAAGATGAAGAAGAAGAAGAAAATATTTTGCACAAGAAATGGTTATTAATATATTATATAAATATATGTATACTTATGCCTATAATTTGAAATTATGAAGATGAAACAGAGAGAATCATAAATGTAAAACGTATGTATGTAAATGTAAGGCAGCGAAGAAGACTTTTGAGCAACAAGAAAAAACATGTTTTGATAAATATTTAAATGTTTATAAATATAAATATAAATTATGATAATTGATTAAATAATTATGCAAGCCAACAACTATTATAGTTTGTAAATGCTTTTTATATAATTTTCAAAATAAAAGGAAATCCAACATTTTGCCATTATTAATTTATAAACTTTACAAAGTGTTTGTTTTTTACTTTTTGTTATTTATGGGAAATGATAGATACACACACACACACACACACACACACACACACACACACACACATATATATATATA